TCCTTCCCAAAGGCGATGAGTAACGACCGTTCACTTAGTACGGGGGCTCTCCAAAATCTGGTAAACTTTTTTCAAGGCCTACATATCAAATGGTGTCCTATTTTAGAACGTGCCGAAACTTTAGCTGGAAAAATTACAGGTGATGCGAGTATCATGCATTAGGCACGCGCCAAAAATTATGCCAAACAAGTAGCGGACTCAGAAAGTTTCTCACAGGTTTGCGAGGAGAAAGACAGTTTGCCCTCAGCTGATGTTATTTCTTTTTATTTCATCATAATTTATCTTCATTATTCATCTACGCTGGGTTTTTCTTTCTGGCATCACATGCAAGGCGTACTGAATTTGGGCGGGGTGCAACTCAAATGACGCCCAGTGTACAACCACATATACATCAATTATATTTTATTAATCACAATATTCTGTTTCATGGCAAACTACAACTAAGCCAAAGAGACTTCTATCTGTGTGTCGAACTGTGTTAAATAATTCCGCTGAACATTAACAAAGGAATGAGTTCGAACTGGAGCCGTTTGAAGCTGCTATAACCATTCGATCATTCGTAGAGCTTATTTCAATGCTGTTTTACCGCCAAGAAAAAATTAGCATTGTACGTATTCGTTGGCGTAAGAGCACGGTGCATTCTCTTGAATTCTCGATTTCTGTTGAAACGCAAATAAACAAGTCAATAAAAAGTCAATAAAAACATAATAACCTTAAAATCAGATAAATGTTTTTTTCGAATAGTGGAGCGAAACTTTTAAAAAAATCAATCCATTACAGAGTCAATCATGACCTGCAATTGAGAATTACCCTTTTAGCGTCTAACTTAAAACGAAAACCACCAAAAAATCCAAAAAGCATATATATCTTACCGGCTTCTTTTTGAAATCTCGTCTGTAAGCATATGTAAAGTATGCGATGGAACCAAGACATAGCAAAAACTCTAAACAGGAAAAAATGAGCACGAATGTGGTTAAGGTTTTGGTTCGTGTAACATTCTGATCAGGAGTTCTGTTGTAGGCATACCAACTGAACGATCCGACCTCTTCACCTGTGAATACCGTGTGTACTGCCATACTGTAACAGACGATCAGCATTGTGGACAGGAGTAAGGATAATACTGAGAATAACAGGAAGTCGATCAACTAAAAATTAAAATGAAAGATTGAAAGAGTGGGACAAAACATTAATAAACCCAACAGTTGATTAATTCCAAATCATTATCTCAGATAATATAATAATAACGGAGCTCGCAGAGCGTAGCTCCATAATTATGCAAAATGGTAGTAACCTATCAAGCCGAAAAAATTTGGACTTATGACCGTGCGGGCGTCTGTACAAGATGCTACTTTTAACATGCGTGGTCAACTGTACCGCGGGCACTCCAACGCCACGGCTTTGTTCAGTAGTCCAGTGGTCAGTGCACTGGGCTCCGAGTGGGACGACCTGGGTTTTAGTCCTGGCCGGGGCAAGGCGTTGTGCCCTTGAGACGTGCGGGAAAAAAAATGCGAGCAAAAAAATGCGAGCTCCGCTTTTAGGCTTGGCTAAATCTATGTACTAGTAGTACTAACTCAGTAAGAACCTCGTTGATAAAAGAAAGCGCCAAAAATACTGATTGGTTTTTTTAAAAAAAACACAGAAGAAATTTTCAGTGAAACCAAGACTACTAAAAAGCAACACCAATTGATAAAGAGACAAAGTGAAAATGGGGGATTTCATCCGAAGGCCCGTGAGTCTGAAAACAAGGCAGCCTGTGCTTGAATCTTAAAAGCCTTTTTACCGCAATTAATATTGGCAGTGTGTTATATATAATTAGGTAAACTAAAGTCTGGTCGACTCCAACTTACATAATACTTTTTGGAGTTTTCAGCGTTCTCCATGTTCGAATCCAAAACTGCAATAACCCCAGTGGCAGCAATCTGCAAAAAAAAAATTTTGGGATCAGGGCAGTTACCTATGAATGCTGTTCATTTGTTTAGTCATCCATTCATTTATTTTTTAACTTTGACGGATGTACCTAACTGAGATCGAGTCACTTTGCACAAGTTTTTCTTGTTTTTAAAATTAAAATTCTATATTTTTTATGTCTTCAGTGACCTCGCCAGTTATACCACGGTGAAACTGAAACATACAGAACAATCGAGCGCACCATCGTTGGTACAGTTTCTCGTGATGATCTCTTTTGGGGTATTTGATATGCTGGTAAACTCATAAAAGTGCGATGTAGATCTGTTTTACGTTGTTTTTGCATTTACATATCACAGAAGGGTAGTCATGCGTTTTATGCCGATTTCTCCAGAATTTTCTTGTGTTGAGATATTTGTTTATCTTGCTTTTTAATTTAGTTAAGAGATCATGTGAAATTTGACACCTCCGAGAGTAAAAAAAAGGAGTGATGCCTAGCGAGAACTTAAAGGCAGCAATCATCAACTGATCTTGAAAAGAGCTCTTTTCTTAAATTCATATCCTATAACTTTGATCCGCGGAAAAGTGATTGATCATCAGTATGTCAATACAACCACGACATGCCAAATCAGTAACTATATAGTCATCCAAACACCATTCCCCATACATAAATAAATCTCACTTACTATGACTCCAATCCAGATTGGAAGAAGCATTTGGCTGGTCCAGTGATCAACCACAAGCCTTACTAAGATTCCCAGCACAATAAACAAGCCGCCAAACATACCATGAATAACACCTAATAACTTCAGAACGCCGTCAAAGTAAACTATGGCTCCATCTCTAACACCCATCTTATCTCGTGAAAGGAACTTTCAATTACTTGTTTAGTCGTTCATTTGTTAGTACAGCTGTACGATTTTGTTGGGAAGAATGTGCATTAAAATGAGATCCTTACATTAAAATAACAATGTGTGACGTCTGTGTCATGAGGGACCTCGTCATAATTAGTTCCAGTTCTTGAACATCTTTCTTCTCAAACAGTCGTGCTCATACATCCCTTTCGGGTTGATTACCTCGGGTCTCAAGTGTGAGGAATGTTTTCGTCACAGGAACCCCAAACTGGCAGACAAAACATGTCAAGAGTTTAGTGCAGAGATTCAAACTTTTCGATTTCATTAACTATACAAGTGGCAAAGGACATAATTCGAGAAGCAAGGGATGGTAAGAGGGGACATTCCTTTTAACCAATCACATTTCATGTTCCCATGCATTTCTCGGCCGCGCGTCACTTAGGACACCTGGGCTCGAGCCAGGTGGCGTGATTTTGCCTTTTTCGACAGCTCTCTTTGTTTGAAATTAATGTTGCCGAAGATTGCGTGATCCAACAAAGGTCACGCACTACAAAAGCATATCTTTGAGGGTTCTAAGAGAAATCAAACTTCGTAACATGATTCACGCTTGATCCAAGTTTTCCTTTACATCGCTCAAAACGTTCGATAGTATTTTATAATTTTACAGACTAAGATCTAACAATGGTCAATTGTGCAATAAAACATAGTGCGAAGTGCAGTTGACCCTTAAAACGAGGTCATTCTATTGTAATTATTTCAATCCATTCTTCTGCCTGCGGTATCTACACGAAATGGATTTGCGATACGCAGAAAGGACGACCCTATGAGATTCCAGCAGTTCAGATTTCACAGAAAAAAGAGAGACGTTTCTGTTATTCGATACTTAATAGGTAGTAGCATCGAATTAAAAAACACCGCTAATCACGCAAACCTGGTCTGGACGTAATCGTAGCCCGGATGATATCATAAAGTGGGTTGACAACATCGGAGACTAACGAGAAATTCTGTCGTCGAAGTGAGTGCTCTTCTCAGGTTAGAATGTCGTCTGTGGTAAATAATGGATACAAAGGGACCGCAAGGAACAGTATTAAATCATTTCAAGAAAAGATGATCAAGTTGAAAAGTGATTTAAACGAAACAGAGAACAAAATTAAACAGCATAAACAGGAAACGCTTTCTGCAAGATGGAGAGAACACGAAGCCAAACTCCAACTGAAGGAGATGTCTGAAAAGATCTCAGAGAAAGAAGAAAAGATCAGAAAGATCGAGGACCGTATTCATTACCAGAACGGGCGAAGGAAAGAGATAGCGGAAAAATATCGAGAAAACGGGCGAGTTGCAAATGTGTTGGAAGAATCCACGATCAATGTAGAGGAAATGATGCGTAAACTTAACGAATCCCAGCAGCGCGTAATGGAATTAAGGAAAATGAACAAGGGAATGTCGCAGGTTGTTGCAATTCTGGAGCCTAAAATTGAAAAAGCGGAGAGACGCGAACAGAAAGCTCTTAACCGTGCGTTTTTGATAAATCAAAAGTTATCTGTTCATCGTTACCTAGCAGCCAAAAGGCCTGAAGGAATGTTGTCTCCTGAAGAAGAACTTGTTCCACAATCCGACCAAGAAGCCAAAGTTATAAGCATACAAGAGAAAATCAGAGGGGCAATTTTACGGAGGCGAGAAGCCGAAAAGAAGCGGTGTACTTTGGAGAGAAAAATTCAGGTTATGGAAAAGGCGCTGGATAACTTCAAGAGAAGAAATCTGGAGTTTCAAATTAGCAAAAGGGAGCTTCTTAGTTCAAACTTTTTATAAACTCGCAAAAACTTGACAGTTAAAAAATATGACTTCTTCATCCGATTATAGACTTTCTTATAAATTACTTGCACTTCATAGAACACCAGTTCATTTAATAGGTCTTATAGTTTAATTATTAACATGTTAAACTTATAGTGATTTATCATGATCTAACAGATTGCTTTGATGACCAGGACAATACGAACATGGCGCACTTACAGATCACGAACGCAACGCTATAAGGTACATCCTGCTTTAGTTAAGATGTCTACATTGTCCTAAATATTGACCAAGCGAGAAAAATAGAGTTTATCAAAAGATCTAAGAAGCTTACAAGCTTTTTGAAAGATACAAAGCTTCACGCAGTGACGTGATTGAATAAGCCATTGTCATCGACGGAGAATTTGATTAAGTAAATAAACATTAGCTACCTTGGAAATGATACGTTCGCTTTCTTTGCACTAGTCTCCTTCGCATGCAGGCAAAAAAATTGCTGATCTTATTTTCATGGGTGTTCGAGGTTCCGGTTTTTTTTGCACTTTAAGCTGGGAGATAAGTCAGCGTTTGTCTTGGATGACTTCGTTTACTTTACAACTTCGTCATATTCGTATAAATCTCCTCAATTCCCAGCCATTCCTCTTCCTCCTTTAATCTTATTGCCCCTTTTGTTTCATACCATCCGCCGAACTATGTTTAAAATGTCTCCTTTACGTCGGAGATTGTTTTGCACAGCACACACACAAAAAAAAAGAATAAAAAAGTAAAAAAAAATTAGAGCATTTTTTCTCTCTACAAATCAGCAGCAGCATGTACATATGTAACTGCAAGGTCTCTGTCAATACTTACAAGGATTATCGTAAAGGTCATGAAACGAAATCTCAATGATATCGCGCGCGCCAGTTGACAAATGGCTGGGTAACTATGGAACAAGGATTTTTCTGCAATGCCCATACTCATACCGCGGAAAATCAAGGCAATTAAATTAGGCAATCGTTACACATTATAGCGCATGCCTCCAGTCAGTGTAAGGAGAGGAATGAGATATAGCTTTATAAATTAGCATGCAATGTATTTGAAATCCTGGAAAAGCGGTGTATCTCGTGTAAGCATACTAACGTGATACAAACTGTGAAGTTTAATTTGCAGTAAATTCTCCCATTCTCTGATGGGTTAATCGCACACTCACACACATTAGTTATTTTGTGATCTATCCAGTTGTGAAGAAAAATTGCGGGATGAGCAAGGATGAAACGAGCTAAGACGCAATGAGACTGCCCGCAGAAAAATCTGTTGGGGAGTACGAGTTCATGGGATACTTTTTCGTGATTTTATACTCACTCCAACCTTGAGAATTTCATTTAAAAAAAACACAAAAACATTGAAAATTCAATATCTTGCGGTTTTATCTCACAATAAATGTCTGCAAATGCTACAGCTCCTGCTGCTTGAGGTCCATTCCAAAATTCTTTCCTCTCTGACCGACAGGTCCTGGTGCTGACTAGCTCCCAGTATTTCATTTCAGCGCTGTTCATTACCAAGGCAACTAAAGTGTCTTCTCTCCTTCGGCAAGACAAGAAGAGAATTTGGTTATTGTAGAGAATTTAGCCAAAACACAGTGTATCAGGCTTCACAATGATTCCGCCGAATGCATCACTAGTTAAATATGACAATCCAGTTCTCGTAAGCAGGAACACAGACAAAAAATCGCCAAGGGTAAGCTATTTTTGCAACCATGTCATATGTACAACACAACTATAAGGTTTATGCAGTGGTGAGCTATGTGATAGACTAATTAAACATTTAGTTCAATTGTGAGTGGCTTGATGGGTACACAAGAGAGTATTTCGTCCCTTAAACCAAGAAGAGATTGTTTAGGAAAAAAAATCCTCGATAAGCATTGACAAACACGTTTTACATGTACATTATCGAGAATGACCTTGCTCTTTAGCGAAATTAATTACTGGTCTGTGAAGAACGGTACATTGTGATGGCACCGTGTCGGAAAAAGAACACAAGATAACAAGCTTCTTTCGTGGAGAAAAAATTATTCCATTCCATGCCATTGCTACTTTGTTTTGGGATTTCAAATGACAATCTTAATGAGGGAATTAATGTATTAAAAATATAAAAAAATAAATCATTATGGAATTGTTAGTATGTCGGTACAAACCTTTTAAGTTGATGATTTTTTAGTGGTACTGCATATTTCATTTATTTGTTTACAGGCGCGATCTCTGAAAGTAAGCCAACAGCAAGGTACAGGACCTGCAGCAACTGGACCAGTACCTCAACCGCCACGAGCTAGTAAACTACCACCAATGGATGCACAGAAAAACCAACAAACTGATGAGATACTCAATGCAATCCTGCCGCCAAGGTACATATCATATGCATGATCTTGATGGTGTCTGCCTTTACCTTTATGATGAAATAATTTGGTTTCATCAACTGAGTTAACAATGTAAATTGCTGCCATAGAGTGTTTCCAAAGCTAATCTTACAAGAGTTATCCCTTTGTCAGAACTAAGGATCAACTGACAAAGGTCAAACACTTAAAACTTCAGCTTTAGAAATTCTCTGTGGTGGCCAATTTACATTATCAGCCTAGTTGCTAAAACCAATTTATCTTGTAATATTGCCTACAGAAACAGCTTCACCGTTTCTTAAGAAACTTACCCCCTCTATCTATTTCTCCACCTTTGGGGGCCTCACCTTCTGTCTGGCTTAGAGACTTGTATGACTAATTAGAGAGCTTACAATGTGATGCCTGAAGAATTTGAGCCAAATGGGTACCCCTTGTTTGCCTATTTTTAAGTAGGTTTTCTATGGGCAAAGCATTACTCGACTCACTCATGTCTCCTTGACAGGTGTTTTTGATCCTGCTGGGAAAATTTTTTGTTTGTTCTTTTATTTTACAGGGAGTGGACTGAAAATGGTCAGTTATGGGTGCAACAGGTATCTAGTACTCCAGCCACAAGATTAGATGTTGTTAATTTACAGGTAATCACTGGGGGTTAAAGCTTTTGATTACAGCACTTAACGTATGGCCTAAGAGTTACAAGCATTTAATTTCTCCTTAAAAAATTACTTCTAAATCAGACATTAAGCTCAAAAGAATAAAGGTAATGATAATCAACTTAAGAAGCTCATGATGGATAAATAAATTCTCTTTATCAAAACCATAGAAAATGTATAGAGAACAGTATAGAGAATATGATGTAAAAGTGTAACTAGGGTTGGTCAGTGGGAGTGAGGGAAAAATTGAAATTCTTTCATTTCCCCCACCCTAAATTCTTGAAGAATCAGTTGAAGAAGTAGATTAGTAAAGTTTTTTTTTTATGTATTTGTGTCCATGTTTGACTTTTTTACTGATTAAGGTGGATTGTGTTGTTCTTTTGTTATCTTCTAGGAGCAACTGGACATGCGTCTTCAACAGCGACAAGCAAGAGAGACAGGAATCTGCCCGGTCAGGAGAGAACTTTACTCACAGTGTTTTGGTGAGCTATTTGATGTTATGAGATGTTCAATTATAAAATGTCAAACATCTCAGATGTGTAATGGTAATTTATTTGATAATATATTTCAGATGAATTGATTCGTCAAGTGACCATTAACTGCGCCGAACGTGGCCTTCTGCTGCTCAGGTATGGTGTAAACTGGAAACACAACTGACTTTGTTACTTAAATCATTAGCAATTTATTTAGTAAAGAGCATATTGGCCTCTAATTGTAGGTGAAAACCAAAAGGAGTATCTGCAAAGTATCATTATTTTTACTGTTTTAAAAGGAACCTGCTTTGACAAGCAATCAATAACTCATGCCTGTTTTGTTACCTGTAGAGTGCGTGATGAGATCAGAATGACTATTGCTGCCTACCAAACTCTGTATGAAAGCAGGTAAGTGCAATTAATGTGATTGTCAAAGAAAAAGCAGACTTTCTGGTGCCTTTTTTTTTCTTTGCAAAAAAAGAACAAAGAAAAAAGAAAAGAAAACCATAACCCTCTTATGAGGGTCTTATTATGACCCTCTCCATGCTAAGCTCAAAGTTTTTGTGACCTTCCACACCCTTCCCCCATCTGCACCAGTCCTTCCCGACTGTTAACTAAATGCTTGATTGAAAGCATATCTTTATTACATGCAATTTGTGCAGTGTTGCATTTGGAATGAGGAAAGCATTGCAAGCTGAGCAAGGAAAAGCAGACATGGAAAGGAAGGTTAGTGCATGCCATGATCTGATATTTGGAGAATATATACTTAGGAAGAAATCAGTATTTTGTTTTATGTGACTGTGACGATGTAGGGGTAGTTTCCATGTGGCACAAGAATGTATTTGTGGTTCCGTTGTTTTTTTTTTCACATAGCCAGCTGTCTCCTTTTTGCTACTGTGCATTCAAAAGGACACTCAATGAAATTGCTTTTGATCACTGCAGTTGCATTACATGAGATCAAATTAAGTACTGCTGTTTTAACAAACATTTATTGGAGTATAAGGTAATTGTGATGGTTTCATGTAGATTCAAGAGCTTGAGGGAGACAAGCGAGATCTTGAGAGGCAGGTCAATGAACTGAAAGCCAAGTGTGAAGCCATTGAGAAGAGAGAAGCTGAAAGAAGGGCAGTCGAGGAAAAGAAGCATGCAGAGGAAATTCAGTTTCTCAAGAGGACCAACCAACAACTGAAGGTACATACTTAGCCTGTTGAAAGGCAGCTTACCTTAAAGAAGTTTATAATGGGGAGCCATTTACTGGCTTTATAAACTGACAAAAATGCTGCCTCATTCAATTTCAGTAGAGGTCATCAGACAGGGGGTTCAAATAGAAAACAAGACCTACCCAACCCCTCCTTCCTTATAGATTCCAAGATGGCTGCCACTCATTGTGAGGAAAAGAATCAGGCACCTTTCTTGTGGAATGTTTTTTCCCCCTAAAGACCTGTTGGAAGCCATATCCTCCCACAAAGTAACAATCAGCCTCTCCCCTTCATAGCCATTTCAGTATTATTTTGGGGCTCCTCTGACAGTCTGCATCAGTTTATATCTGCTACAGTACAAAGGGGGTAGGGGAATAATGTTTTTCCCTACTACATTTCCTGCTGAAAACCCTGAATATTCCATTATCTCTTTTATTGAAATAATCATTGTTTTCCTCCTGAGAAATAATGGTTGTTCCTCTTTCAGACCCAGCTTGAAGGGATCATTGCTCCTACCAAGAAGTAAACTTGTTTGAATGATCTGGGCAGTGTAAATTTTGTAAACATTGGTAGTTTTGAAATGGTAATAGTTTTCCACAGAAAATAAGCAATTTCTTTAAATGACAACTTGTAAAGAAACCTTACTTATTATGAATATTCAAACATTTACTCACCATTTGAAAGATAAATTGTCATTCATTCATTCCTTTTTTTTTTTTTAAGGTAAAAATTGATTTTTTTTTTACTGATAGACGTTATGTCACATATAGAAGTGTGTTGGCAGCACTGCAAAATTGTGGTTACACACTTTACAACTTTATGATTGACATATTTTGAGTATATTAATAAAGTGTTGAAAAGACTCTTGTCAAACTAGTAAAAGCTAAACTGACACAACCACAGACAAACTTTGTTCAAGTATTTAATTAATGTTCAACACACACACAAAACTTGTTTGAACATGTTAAATTAATTTAATAAATAATATTAAATAAATAGACACCATATATACATTTCTATTTCTATCTCTAATTTGGTTTCTCACACATTTTAAGAACTTTCAACCAATTCTAAATTGATAA